AAATCTTGTATTATAACTGTGTTGTTGGTATGCTGGTCTCACAAACTCTAAGAAGATAGACGGAATATTTGATCTTCCATTAACTATTTTATAACTAAACTCTGCAATTTTTAGCTTAAATATGTTTTCAAATTTAAGTATTTCCATGAGGTTATAATACGGAGTAGCACTTTCCCTGCTATATGCAAAGAACATATTCCTTAGACACTTATTTTGTTTGGTACTAATTTTCGTTAAACAAGACTTGTATGATTTCCCCAACTCATTACTCCATAAGTTAAATAAGGATAAATAAGTGTGTAATATAATTGCTTTATCATTTTTAAGTCTAAATAGTGTCGAAGTTTATTTATAATTCCAATATTTTTAGCTATTTTATTATTGACATGTTTTAGTTGTTGTTTCCAATTGATATGTTCATCCAGAAAAATCCCCAAGTACTTACTGTAATAAAACCTTTTTGTTCAATATTATCAATTTTTATGCTGTTTAGTTTCTTTCTCGTTGAAGATATTACCATATAATGAGTCTTCTGAAAATACAAGCGGGTTACCCTACTTCAATATGTTTTATAGGAAGCGTTTACATGCGCGCTACGGTTACCTTAGGGGCAGGGTTACCCTTTCTGCCCGTTGCAAATCATCCCCCCCCCCCATAAAACTGAGGGCCTGCCACGCAGGCTACCTATCAAACAGATAGGGTGACCCTAGCAGCAGGGCTATCTTTTTGTTTACATAAGCCATGTAAACGCGTGAGGTAGGGTTACCCTAGCGTGCATGGCAGGCGGTGTAAAATACCGTCTGCTGGATTTGGCAGTGTAATTTGATAACCGCCCACTTTTTTGTCCATGTCCAATTAGCCAATCAGCAAACACTAAATATATTAATAATCAAACTGTCAAAGACTCAAACTATGTTGTTGTCATTCTCGTACCCAGAGCCCTCTTACGCGCGGTGCGACGAGGGGCTCTGGCCAAATGATATACATATGGGCCAAATCCATAACCGGATACCATAAAAACATGGTAAGAAAACAATGTCCGGTGTTAGAACTAGCCAATCAGATGCCAGTTCGGAATATGGATTTGGCCAGAGCCCCTCGCAACCTCGTACCCAGGATCTTTCTGGAGAGACCCTGGGAACGAGGTTGAGCCCCTCGTCGCACCGCGCGTAAGAAGGGCTCCGTACGAGAATGTTGTTGTCTGGTCGCAAAATTGCAAATATAAAATATGTCGAAAGAAACGCCATTGAAAGTTTCAATCAGGACCTCTGAATAACGACAAGAGGTAGAAAAGCAAGCGCGGAAAATGTAAATGACCACTGTCGTTTGTGCAGGGCCGTAGCTAGCATGTATAGTTGGGGGGGGGGGGGTGTAGGCCAAAAATTTCCGAATGACGAAGAAAATTTCCGAATATTTCATGGCATACGAAGCCACGAAGGTGTTTGCTATCCGGAAAATGAAAACGCAATTTACAAACAAAAATACTCATATTTTACGCACAGACATATTACAGAAGCGTGCAGTTCTGTAGGAAGTTCTTTTTGATAAGGGGGTGGCGAGGGCCGAAGGCCCGAGGAAATTTTTAAATTTAGAGTCTCTGAAATGCCATTTCGTGGACTTTGGGGGAAGTTTTGACAGAATTCTGATGGTCAGAAAACAGAGTTTTAGCACGTCGAAATTTACAATTAATTTGCTTACAATTTAGAAAAACTAAATGGGCGAAGGCGTATATGGGTAATACGATTCTTTGCGGTTTGTCATGGGTAATGTAGCCGCTTAAAATTAATCAATTGTCAGTATTTTAAAGATATATTGAGGACTGCCCCCTCCCCCCACCCGTTGCTACGGCCCTGGGAAGTAATAAACCGAAAAACATTTACCGATCTACGATTTGTTAAATGTTATCCATGTAAATGCCGTGATTTTGTAAATCAGTTTATGATACTGACAATACAATTTTATAATATTTTCTCTGTTTAATTAAACAACTAAAATTTTGTTATACCACTACCGCTGTAATATTCCGAATGACCAACCAGATTTTCCGAATATGTTAATTCTAAAAAAGTTGGGGGGTTAACCACACCCCCAATACCCCCTTCGCTACGGCTCTGGTTATCGCGTTCCAGGTAAATAGATTGAGTTCACTAGATTGCAGCCCTCCACGCCACATAGTATGTCAGTCTCAGTCCCTTTATATGCCATCACCGCGTGGTCCATTGCCACGCCATATAGTATATCAATTTCAGTCCCCTTATACGCCGTCACCGCATTGTCTATCACAAATCAGTGTGTGTCAGTATGCTGGCGTTAGCATGCATGAAATGGCGTTATATAATAACTACAGTGAAACATGCAATTTGATTGGTCAATAGCCGTGCAGGATAAGGCTATCCTGCACGAGGAATTAAAATGCCTTCGCGGGATTTTCGCGGGATTCTCAAAATGTTATTGTTTCACTGTAGTTATTTTATAAGACAATTACCAAATGGTTTTCCAAGCAGGATAGCGTGATCCATGCACTTGGGATGTTGCTCGACTTTCGGAAAGCGTAAAAATACACTCGCCTGCGGCTCGAGTATTTTTATTATTTCCGAAAGTCTCGCAACATCCCTCGTACATGGATCACGCAATCCTGCACGGAAAACCATTCGGTATTCCTTTATTGCTTCATGTTTGTCCTGCATGTTATCGTTCCAGATAAAAGACATAGAGTTCACTGCAAGATTGATTGCAATGTTGCAAAACTCATGGGAACAGAACATCCGGTTTGACTGTAATACTCAATGTCACTTCCACTAACTTTTAGTAAACAGTCATGAAGATGAAGTTTTTTCCTAAGAAAATAAATTGCATTTTAAAATGCACTGAATATCACAAATATGTAAAATTCCTAATTGTTACATGAGTAATTTAAATTGACTAAAATTGCATGTACTAAAACATTACTTTGCCAACTTTGAGTTTTCATAAGTGAAAGAGTTACGAAAGTTTATTGCTTTGATTTTTATATATTATGTATTCATTAATGTTTTGGTGCCCCCCCCCCCTTTTTTTGCTGTTTTGCCATAGCTGTTTGCCATTGCTGTTTGCCATTTGCCAGTTTGCCATAAATGTTTGCCAGTGTTTTGCCTAATGTTTGCCATTGCGGTCATTTGCCTAACAAGGCTAGATCGCCGACTAGCCTTGGCCACCAACGGCACCTACCTCCAAACTCAGATACTCTGCCGTTAAGTATTCATTAATGTTTTGGTGGCCCCCCCTCAAAATTTAATTTTCCTGAGGTGACCCCCCTTTCACATCACTATTTTTTCTGGTGGCCCCCCTGCAAAAACCACCAGCCCCCCCTCCTGATAAAAAATGAACGGTCCCTTAATGGGTTAAAATGACTTGATATAAGGTTGGGCAAAAGCAGTTAGTATTACATATTACATAACCTAACATAACAAAACATCTCAGAATTACCTGGAATTACCTTCCACAAACTGGATTTTACATGCTTTTTAACAAAATAAATAGAAGCAAATTCTGCCTGTTGCAAGTAGCAACATTCTATCTTTAACAAACCTATGTGGTTTTATATAAATAATCAAGCTCAGCATTCTTTTCATCTTGCTGTGTTTTCCAGTTTTGGCCGTGGTAACATGGCCAACACTGCAGCCTTCTAGCTATGATTTTGTTGGCATCTCACTTGGCATTCGCAGATGGAAATTATCGAGTGGAAATTTAACTTGTGGTTAGAGCTCGACAACTGGCCTCGGTAGCTCAGTTGGTAATTAGAGCGCTGCACCGGAATCGCAGGGCCACAGGTTCGATTCCTGTCAGGGCCACAGGTTTGATTTCTGCCAGGGACCTGTGGTTGCATTTTTCGCAGCTGTTCCTGGTTAGGTCTAATAAATGTATATAAATTTCCACTCGATAATTTCCATCTACAAGGCCCTTAACTGCCAGCTCTAAGACCCTTGTGTTGTGAACCATACACAGCAGGAGCCGGAGATTTGAACTGTAAAGCAGCCGGAGCCGGAAAACCAGAGTTTGCACAGCTCTGTCATTGTTGTGTTGTGCTCTACATGCATATAAATATTAATTATATACCATTAGGCACATGGCTTATTGTGCCATATACGTACTGTAAATCACAAAACAGGCCGATGGAAATCAGGAAATATATTAAACCCCTGTTCAAACGAGTCCAACATTGTCAGTTCATCAATAATGGAAGATGTTGGACAATATTGCCTTTTTTGGGGGAGTTCAATGATCACGCATATAAATTATTCTTAATATAGCAAACATGACATTCATATGACAACAGCTGCATGACAACATAAAACAGCATTTCGCTAAATTATAAAGCTCGGAAACGACCAAAGGATGCATCGTTTAAAATTAAATCTATAACAACCTACCTTTGTTGACAATAAATTTATAAACTCTGTTAATCGTCCGTCTTTATAACACGAAATTGCTACTCTATTTAATATATTCTTGTTTACAGAATTTCCATGCCGCCTTCACAGTTTTTGAAACTTTCCATGTAGTGTTTCCACTTTGATTAATGACAACTTCTTTGCATGGGTCAAAGAATGGGCCAGTATAAAATGGCCAGTTTGAGACTAAGTACTTACCTCAAAGAGCATATAGTCTTTCCAATCTCGTTCCCCGAGCCTGCGATCCTCGGGAAGGAACGTGAGGCTCTGGGATAATCCGTTTCAACATGGATAATAAAATAAATGGATAGGAAACTAGCTGACGTGACCTAATGTTTTCAATGGGCTGATGGCGTGGTTGGATGCCTCAACCACAGAATACTACACAGAAGTCCATCTCCTTTGTTTTTTGCGTAAGCTCCATTCGTCATGATTCGTCACTCAGCAAGTACCGTAAAAAGAAGCAGTCACCCCCCTGGACGTGCGCCATTTTTAGTATCTCCAGGGGGGTGACTGCTTCTGTTTACGGTACTTGCTGAGTGACGAATCGTGACGAATAGCGCTTACGCAAAAAACAATGGAGATGGACTTCTGTGTAGTATTCTGTGCCTCAACCACACTCAACCGCAGATTAATCTGTGCCTCAACCTAGTTGAAAACCAAATTCTCAAAAACGGCATGTTTAGCAATAATACTGCTAAACATTTTAGTCAAAGAGCAAATAAATATAACCACGCTATTCTACGATGAAAACTCTAAGTATTCCCAATCTATTTTAGCAAATATTTCAAGCACTAAACAGTGAAAAATACATCGCAAATTTCGTTAAAATTTGTGACGCCAATTTCGTAGCTACAAATGTAAAAAAATACAAAACAAAGACGAAAAACATTTACCTTGAATACTTTGTCGTGGCTTAGGCATGTTTTTAAAACAATTAGACCAGTTTACGCTTCAAGATCACCCTTTTAAAGTGGAAAATATAGCAAAACAACAAAGATGCCGAGAACCACAGATGAGGTAGGTTTACCTCATCTGTGCCACAGAATAAGGACATACAGAAGTGTAACTTCCATTACAAAACCGTAAGGCGCTTTTTACCGAAATCATTGAACTATAAATAAACTGGAAGGCTAACTCAGGGGGGGAAATTGAAGCCAGTGCATTTTAGTTTTTCTGAGTTATGAGCAGAAATACTCAACACTGAACGTCGGGCTATATATCAAATTGAAGCTATTGAAAAACGCTATTTGGTGTAGAAATTTCAAGACTTTAGCTAAAAGGGAAATATTGAAAAACTACAAACATAATTACCGATAATTTGCCATTTTGCAGTTGTTTTTGTATTTTTTAAATATTTTTCTTTTCCCTGAAGTCTTGAAATTTCCACACCGAATAGCAATTTTCAATAGCTTCATTTTGATATATAGCCGAACGTTTGGGGTCAAGTATTTCAGCTCATAACTCAGAAAAACTATTTTGGCTTCATCAAATCATAGGCCTACATCATAGCAGTTAGCCTTCCAGTTTATCCCCGAGCCGACGGCGCGAAGCGCCGTGCGAGGGTACTAATTCCCCCCCGGCTATTTACACCCGGGGAAACGAAAGCATTAGCGGAGTCTAAAGTTCATCAAATATCGTGGACGTGGGTGACCAACGATGGGTGGGTCATCCTCACTGATCTCAAAAATATGGCAGACTGTCATGAATAGCGGACACTGATTGGTCCAATTTAAATTTTGCATTATAACGACTGGCACGAATGTATCACGACAGCGAAATAGCAAACATTTCTTGATTTGATGATTGACTAGAAAATACATGCATGCAGAAACCCTCGCCTTGCTGACAAAAACCATTGTATTTTCCGAACATGAAGTTCTAAAGTAGTTGTCATGGTAACACGATAATTTTTTAAGAATATTCTTACAAATGAAAAATCGCCTAAAAATATCACTTTTAATTACAAAATTATTAATTTCCCAACATAAATATATGTTAGGTATGTTTTTATACGTAATATAAGCCTCAATTTAAGGTAAAATTCAACCACAAACGCTTCGCAAAACGTTTTAAAGTCACTAGTGTTCATTATAAAACTAAACTGCCTTTTAAAATGGCTTTATCGATAAACTTTGAGTTAGCAATAAAATGATTTCAAATTCTGGCTTGCAAATAACTCAGTGCTTTCTTTTTTATTTAGAAATTCAATATCATAAAAAAGGGAATCAATATTAAAGATACACTAAAATTATATGCTGTTTGTTTAGTTGTTTCATATATGCAAAGCCAAAGGCCGTCGGGTTTTAAAGACAATTATAAAATCAATATTTAAAACAAACCTACCTTCGTTAACGTCGGCTCCCTTCTTTTAGACGATTCTTTCGCAGTTTCATTTTGAGAGAGCTTTTGAAATTTACAAAATCTTGCAAAAATGCGAGTAAAAATGAAATATATTTGCAAGAAATTTATCAATCATCAAATCAAGAATTGTTTGCTATTTCGCTGTCGTGATACATTCGTGCCAGTCGTTATAATGCAAAATTTAAATTGGACCAATCAGTGTTCGCTATTCATGACAGTCCGCCATATTTTTGAGATCAGTGAGGATGACCACCCATCGTTGGTCACCCACGCCCGCGATATTTGATGAACTTTAGACTCCGCTAATGCTTTCGTTTCCCCGGGTGTAAATAGCCGGGGGGAATTAGTACCCTCGCACGGCGCTTCGCGCCGTCGGCTCGGGGATAAATTTCTTGCAAATATATTTCATTTTTACTCGCATTTTTGCAAGATTTTGTAAATTTCAAAAGCTCTCTCAAAATGAAACTGCGAAAGAATCGTCTAAAAGAAGGGAGCCGACGTTAACGAAGGTAAGTTTGTTTTAAATATTGATTTTATAATGGCTTTAAAACCCGACGGCCTTTGCGTATATGAAACAACTAAACAAACAGCATATAATTTTAGTGTATCTTTAATATTGATTCCCTTTTTATGATATTGAATTTCTAAATAAAAAAGAAAGCACTGAGTTATTTGCAAGCCAGAATTTGAAATCATCTTATTGCTAACTCAAAGTTTATCGATAAAGCCATTTTAAAAGGCAGTTTAGTTTTATAATGAACACTAGTGACTTTAAAACGTTTTGCGAAGCGTTTGTGGTTGAATTTTACCTTAAATTGAGGCTTATATTACGTATAAAAACATACCTAACATATATTCATGTTGGGAAATTAATAATTTTGTAATTAAAAGTGATATTTTTAGGCGATTTTTCATTTGTAAGAATATTCTTAAAAAATTATCGTGTTACCATGACAACTACTTTAGAACTTCATGTTCGGAAAATACAATGGTTTTGTCAGCAAGGCGAGGGTTTCTGCATGCATGTATTTTCTAGTTTATAGTTTTATTTATAGTGCAGTCAATGACGTCAGGAAGTTTCCTATCTATTTTACAATCCATGGTTTCAAGGAGGAATCTGATTGGCCGTTGAAATGGATGCGCAGTTCAATCTTAGCCAGGATTCCTGGCTTCCGGCAACGGATTATCCCAGAGCCTCACGTTCCTTCCCGAGGATCGCAGGCTCGGGGAACGAGATTGATAGTCTTTCGAGACATGGTTATGTTGAGCCGTACCTTACACTAGAGATGGGCATAACCATCC